CCCTCTGAGTTATGGAGTCTGTGAGTCATAATTCTGTGCCAAGGTCACATGGGGTTGTGTGAATTTCATCATTGCCTAAATACATCTGCAGCATAGTCTGCCCACAGAATGACAGCTATTTTTTTAAGCCCTTGTAATATTTTTTTAATTCCTTACATAATCCTGCTTTGAAGGTAATACATGAAATGACTTCTTAAGATAATTCTAGTTCTTATAGCTTCATGGCAGTGTTTATATTAATGTTACTATGTTGGATTAAAAGAAAGTATTCCGTTTATCAGATTTCCTCTTACACTTTTAAGTGAACCAGCCTATGGTATACTAAATGGCCAAACATCAAAGTATTCTTTACATAGTCTAGAATTTAAAACTCATTGATTTCAACTCACAGCAACCCTGTAGGGCAGAGTAGAATAGCCCCACAGGGTTTCCAAGGCTGTAATCTTTACAGCGTCCTGGTGTGATGCTGTAGGAGAAGCACATGGTCGCAAGATCAGTTTGAAGTACAAAGTCAGCAGTTCAAACTATCCAGCCACTCACTGGTAACCCTATATAGGGTTGCTTTGAGTCTGAACTGACTTGGCGGCACTAAACAAGAAGCAAAATCTGTAAGGAAGCAGAGTGCCCTGTCTTTCTCCCATGGAGTGGCTGTGGGTTTCAATTCCTAACCTTTTGGTTTACAGCTGAGTGCTTTAACCATTCTGCTACCCAGGTTTCTTAGTCTAAAATGTGTTGTTGTTTGATACCAGCAAGTCTGTTTCCACTCATAGTGACATGTGCTATCTTCACAATTGTTATTGTCAATCATCTGGCTGAAGGTCTTCCTTTTCTTCACTGACCCTCCATTTTACCAAGCATGATAGTCTTCTCCAAGAGCTGGCCCTTCCTGACAACATGTCCCAAGTGCATGAGTTGAAGTCTCACTGTAGTTGCTTCCAAGGAGCAATCTGGTCATTGTTGTTTTGTTGTTGTTGTTGTTGTTGCAGTTAAATGCTGTCATGTGTCATGTCAGTTCTGATTCATAGCCATGAGCTTTCTCCTCCCATAAAGATTTGCAATATCTGAAATCCTATACAGTTGTTGTTATTGTTAAGTGGTGTCTAGTCAGTTTGGACTTATAGTGACCTTATGCACAACAGAATGAAACACTGCCCAGTTTGGCACCATCCGTACAATTGTTAAGCTTGAGCCCATGGTGCTGCCACTGTGCCAATGTATAAGAAGGTTGATTATATGTACAAGAACATGGCATCAGGATTTGAGGAAGGCTCATTAACAACCTGCAATATCCAGATGATGAAAACTTGCTTGCTGGAAGTAAAAAGGTCTCAAAATACTGATATGGTTCCAAGATCACAACTTTCAGTATGGGTTGTACCTTAATGTAAAGAAAACAAAAATCCTCACCACTGTACCAATAAATAGCATCATAATAAATGGAGAAAATATTGAAGTTGTTAAAGACTTCATTTTGATTGACTCCATTGTCAACACAAATGGAAGCAGCAGTCAAGAAAACTTTCCTGTGTGAGCTCGAACCACTGACCTTATGATTTGCAGTGCAGTGCTTATCCTTCAGAGCTACCTTGCTCCTACTGGCCTTACTTCTTCCAAAGCAGATTTGTTCATTCTTCTTTCAGTACATGGTATATACAATATTCTTGTCCAATACCATAAATCAAATACATGGAGTCCTCTACAACTGTTCTTATTCTTTGTCCAGTTTTCCTATTCATATGAGGTGATTGAAAATGTCATGCCTTGGATCAGACACATGTTAGTCCTCAAAGTGACATCTTTGTTCTTGAATACCTTAAAGAGACCTCTTGCAGCAGATTTTCTAATGCAGTTCGCCATTTGATTTCTTGACTGTTTCCATGAATATTGATTGTAGACCCAAATAATATGGAATTCTTGACAACTTCAATATTTTCCTTCTTCAATGTTATTTATCTAGAATTATGAATGTTAAATTAAGGAAAATGACTGAAGAGTGATCTATCCAGCTTTTCATAGGGTTTTCCAAATCTGAGAACATTTTATGACATCGGGCCGTCTTTTTATTCTGAGTATTGATACTTTCCAATTATGGGGAAAAAATATTGCTTGCATTTTGTTCTGTGCTTTAACTAACCTCTTAGCTAGAGTTACTAAAGAAAGGCACATAGAAAAAGGACCTAACCCTTTAGATTTTATTATTCTTCATTTCCATTAAAGGTATTTATTAAACATACTCATGATTCTGGTTTGACAATCTTACAATCTGTCTTTATAAGCACCTTGGGCTTCTCTATTAAAAAAAAGCCTTTCCAGAGAAATATGCTGCATAATTTTCCTTTACAAAACTTTAAATGGAACTGTAGGTGGTATAGTATGTTTTGTAGAGCTTTATCAAATATTTCTTTTTACTGCAGCTATGGACTCCTGGTGTGGTGCTGTAGGATCAGCATTGGACTGCGAACCAAAGGGTCAGCAGTTCAAACCCACCAGTTGCTCCTCAGAAACCCTCTACAGGGTGACTATGAGTTGGAACCGACTCTACGGCACTTAACAACCACAACAGTGAATCTGAGCATTGAAATGTAATAAACAATACTACCTTTGAGGGCAGGTAGGGATTGGGATGAGTAAAAATTGTTTGTAATTCTGGTTTATTGCTCATCTTGTCAGTAACTTGCCCAGATTGAAAACTAACTGGGAAAAGTGGTAATGCATATTGACAAGATTGGGGAAAGTCAGATCACTCTAGGTATTTTCCATCATTTAAGATATTAATTACAATTATTAAGACTATTAAGAGAGGCAGTTTGATGTTGGCCTATTTAGAAAACCACAGGGCAGACTCAAGCATCCTTGAGTTACATGATGAGCTGCTAATCCACTAGCAACTCTGCAGGAGAGAGATGAGGCTTTCTGCTCCTATAGAGATTTATGGCTTCAGAAACTCTACACAGCGTTGATATAAGTCAGAATGGGTTCAAAGGCATGCAACAGCTACTTGACAGATTCCTTTAGAAGAGCAGTAGGATATCTGATTATATAGGTGAAGGTAGGCACTTAATTACCTTTAATGTCTGCTTATTGTCTATAATTTTTAACTAGTAGATTATATAAAGAAAGGGTAAATGATGATGTATCAAGATCAGGCCCTCCTGAGGCAAACAACTATAGTTTCACATTTTGGTTCCACTGTTCATTAGCCAAGGAGCTCTGGTAGCACACTGGGTAAGTAAAAAAAAAAAACCAAACAGCTGTGATTTGAACCAATCAGCCACTCCATGGAGAAAGATGTGGTAGTATATTTCCATATAGATTACTGCCTTGGGAACCCTGTGAGTCAGTTCTACTGTGTCCTATAAAGTCCCTATGAGTGAAATAGACTGGGTAAGAATGGGTATTTATTAGGCATTTGACCCCCCAAAATTTACTAAAACGTTATGAGTTTAGATTCCTCAGCTATCAAATGGGGATAAAAAGACATATCTTAAAAGGTGTCTAGCACAGAATGTACTATAGGGCAGTGTTTCGTTCTATTGTGCATAGGGTTGCTATGAGTCTGTACCGACTCGATGGCACCTAACAACAACAACAACAATGAGTGTAATAAATATAAGAGCATGTCAAAAAGTTAGTGAATGAATAGAATTAGAGCATAATGAAAATTTGCCACAAACTTTTTGAAGTCCCCTTAGAACTCAAGCATTTAATACAGCATTTAAAAGGTGTTTCATTCATTTTTTATTCTGGTAATTTCTAAAAACATTTTTTCTGATGAATCCCAAGTATATTTCCATGATATCAATTTCAATGAAATTGACCAAAGCATTAAAACCTTGGGTTAATTATATTTCACATAATTTTTAAGAAAATTATGTACTAAACTAATTAAATAATTCTAAATTGAGAGGTAGGAGTACACAGGGATATAATCTCAAATAAGACACCAATATTTGTGTTCCTTGTGTGATCTATTTATTGCTATGTTTTTCCAACATAAAAATTATAATTTTAACCCTTTTTTGTAAGGTTGAAGAATAATTTTAAATCACATTTTTCCACAGGAGAAAAAAAAGAAAATAAATTTAACAGCTGGTATTTTTTAGATGAAACTGTCTGTAGGGCAACAGAGAGTATTTACTCTCCATTCTCTATCTTTCTGAACTAATTTCACTTTCTAACGATGTACATGGACTACTTTAAAAAATGTCAATGAGAAAATATGTGCAGTAGGAGTAAGGGATATTTTCAGATTAAGGACCATTTTTGTTGGTGCTATTGGTTGACTTTTACCTATATATTTCTGTATTAAACTTAATTAAATCAATTTTAAAAGCAAAAATAAAAATGTTGTTAAGTGCCGTGGAGTAGGTTCTGATGCATAGCAACCTGTATGGATTTCCAAAGCTGTATTCCTTGTGGAATCTTTCTCCCGCATAGAGGTTAGTGGGATCAAACCACTGATCTGGTGGCTCACAGTCCACTGTTTACCCTATTAAGGAACTAGAAATCAGGTCCAAATATTTAGATCTCCATTTTTTTTCCAGAATATAAACTTCCAGTCTCCCACTGCCAACAAATCAGTTCTGACTCAGTGTGACTGTCTAAAACTGCTCCTTAGGAGTTCCAAGTCTGTACATCTTTGCAGGAGCAGCCAGCTTCGTCTTTGTCCCATATATAAGAATCAGGTAACTTAAATAAGAAAGAATCCATTGAGTCAATTCCAACTCATAGCAAGAGAGAGTAGAACTGCCCTATAGGGTGTCAAAGGCTGCCACTTTTTTCTCCTGAGTTATGCAGCCAAAAGCTTAACCAGAGCTCCTTAATAAATAAATAAATGTCTATAACAGAAATGTAATCATGATAGTCTTGAGATACTCTTGAGAATCAAAGCACTAAATACAATCATAAAAATAGGTGAAATTTTTGAAAAGTATAATAATAGAAATACAAATTAAGTCCTCTCTGACATTCTATTATTCTTTATTTTTTTTAAACATTAGCAAAAGTCACCTTCGGAGTCATTTATCAACCGAGAGAAGAGATCGAATTCTCAGTCATACATTGGAAGACCAATTCAGCTGGACAAGATTTTGATGTCTAAAGTAAAAGTGCCGCACACATTTGTCATCCACTCATACACCCGGCCCACTGTGTGCCAGTATTGCAAGAAGCTTCTCAAGGGCCTTTTTAGGCAGGGATTGCAGTGCAAAGGTAAGGATCCTGCAGCCAAATGTTTGTTACCAACTCGCTTAACTTCGAGCCCTCAAGTTAGTCACTAGCGTACCTCAAATTACAGTTATGTTGTTGTTCTTTTACAACTTCTCTTTCTGATGAATTCTTGTTTTTGTGTTATTTTGTTTTTAAAATATCATTAGATTGCAGATTCAACTGTCATAAGCGTTGTGCACCCAAAGTACCAAACAACTGCCTGGGTGAAGTGAGCATTAATGGAGGTAGGTGAAAATTTAAAGTCCTGTTCATGCTCTTTGTCTCTTAGAGTGTGGCAATTAAGACTCACAGTTTTAAAAAAGAAAACTTTTATTACTTTCTGTTCAGATATTTGTGTAAATAATCGCCAGAGTCTGTTCTACTTTACTGTAGAAAAGCAGTCACTCCAGGTAACTAAACTTTGGTAAAAATCAAAGAGGCTTTTACACTGTGAAAAGCCAGTACTAAAATAAACATATGAAAAGTTGTTTAGCCCAAGTAGTAATCATGAGAATGTAAATAAAACAGATCATGATTCCTTATTTATCAGACAGGTAAAGTATTTAAAAGATTGAACATATTCATTAGTGTCAAAGATGTGAAGAGATCGATTCTGTCACACAAGGCTGGTTGGAGTAACTAAAGTGTTTTTGTTTGGAGTCTGGTTTGAATATTTCTTTCAAAATTTAAATTGTTCTCTTTATTGAATCAGAATTCAAAGTCTAGAAAAACCCTTGTGTATGACCACAGGATGTTTGTTGTTGTTAGGTGTCTTTGAGTATATTCTGACTCATAGCAACCCATGTGACAGAGTTGAACTGCCCTATAGGGTTTCTTAGGCTATAATCTTTATGGGAGAGGATTGTCCCGTCTTTCTACCAGAGTCACTGGCTAGGTTTGAACTGCCAACCTTTCTGTTAGCAGCCGAGTGCTTAACCATTGCGCCATCAGGGCACCTCCGAGAACATTTGTTGTTAGGTGCTGTCAACTGGTGCTGTCACAGTGACCCAATCAATGTATGACTGGACAAAACACTATCTGGTCCTGTGTCATGCTTTCAGTGGATGTTAGACTTGAGCCCAGTGTTGCAATTGCACTGTTAATCCATCTTCTTGGGAGTCTTCCCCTTTCTTTTTCTCTGACCCTCCTATTTACAGAGCATGACATCCTATTCCAGGGACTGATCCCTCCTCACAGCATGTGCGAGGTGTAAGACACAAAGTCTCACCATCTTTGCTTCTGAGGAGTATTCTGGCTGTACTTCGTTCAGGGCAGATTTGTTTGTTCTTCTGGAAGTCTTTTTAATGTTCTTCTCCAACACCATCATGTGGGTGCACTGATTCTTCTCAGGTCTTCCTTACTCATTTTCCAGTGCTCCTTGGTCCTCAGAGTGACTGACATTCTTGCTCTGTAGCACTGTAGAAGGGTCTTCTTTTTTAATATTTTATTGTGAATTATGTGATAGTTTACATGGGAGAACATTAGCTTTACATTCATCCTATCGTATATTGTTTCATTGCTAGGGTTATAATCCCCTCCATGCATCATCAACCAACCAAAGGGTATACCCCGCAAGCTTGCCCCCTGGTCATCAGCACACAGCCCCTCTCCGTCTCTGTGTCTAAAGTCCCCAGCAGCTCCACCTCTCCACGTCATTGTCTCTGCCTCCATCTCTGGCATCATTGCTTCTCTGGCTAGGGTCCTGCTCTACGCTCTTCTCCCTTGATG